GAACTAGGCGTTAGTCCTCGTAGAATGAGGTTTACCTAGTTCGAATTAAGCGCTCCGCTAGTTCGAATTAAGTTCGAACTAGCGGTTTGTATGTGTAGCGCCTATCAAAGTTAATTCGAACTAACGGCTGTTAGTTCGAATTAATTTTGTAGTGTAGACATACCCTATGTTACTTTAGTACAACTACATATCTTCTTTGTTTTGTGTTTCACTGCTCACTGCATCTCCATCCTGTTTGCTTCTAATCCTGCCATCATGATCTTTATTCTCATTTTATTTATTTACAGTGTATGCATGTCTCAAGTCCATGTGTGTTAAGGTGTGTGTCCTTACCTGATTGGTTTTTACTAGTTGGCCAAGAAACTCTGCTTCTGTTGAGCCCCCTGCAGGGCTGTGTTAGTATTAAAATTAGGGACAGGAAACCCTTCTAAATGTAAAATGTTTAAGGTTAAGGAAAAGCTGTTGAGCTGATGTTAGGGCCTTCACTTGGTGACCCTCTAATGCATTGTCTGAGTTGTGTGCATTGACCCAAAAGGTGGTAACTGTGCAATTTGCAAAGAACAAAGAGGCAGCAGATGGCAGTTTCTCTCCTTTCTTGGTGTTTGCTATCACAGAGCAGGGATAGTTCCTGGCTACAATGGAGAAACCTCTATCCCAGCCTTTACACTAGCTGAAAGGAAGGGCTTTCTTCCCCTTATATATACTGAGTCAGTGACACAGCTTTTTCAGGCAGTCTGGTGTCCATCAGCTGCCAGGACACTCACAGAGTCCCACAAATTACAGGACTGCCTGTTGGGATTGGTCTAAAAATATCTAGTCATCATGAATTATCCTGAAATGAATTGTTTTAAGAACAGGGTTTGAAATAACTCTTCCTCACTGTCTTCCTCTAAGAGATCCATTCATAAGGAAGCCACTTACTTTTCCACATGCACCAACATTGGCTGAAGGCAGAGACTCATGCTCCCTATTTCCGGACCAAAACCTTACTGGTAAGCTCCAGGAAAGGACTTGAGTCCAGTGCATGCACTCCCAACCTACCAGGGTCCTAAGGAACTGCCAGGATCACACAACGCACAGAGACACTGTGGCGTAGTGGGGGTGCTGTCTGCTCTGTGACCCAGGGTCCCCTTGCGCTGTGATGAGAGATTCTCACTGACTCTCCCAAATGTGTATTAACCCAGACATGCAGGCTCAGCCTCCCAGGGAGGGAGACAAAGGAAGGAGGGCGGAGACCAACACCTGGCTGGGGGGCAGGGCTGGAAGAGAGTTTTTTAGTTGTCTGTCTGGTATAATGGAGGAAACAGCCTAAGCAAGGGGCTGGGATTTAGGGGCCCAGTCTCCCCCATCTCAAGGGGGGCTGAGGCATCCTAGGCCTGCTCCGTAACCAGATTACATCTAGGCTGTGCTGTATCCTGGAGAAGCAATAAACTCCCTCTATTCTACTGGCCGGTGGAGTCTGTTCGTGCCATTACAGGGGTGCAGGAGTCGGGGGAACCCTGACGCGCCGTCACAGACACAAACCATAATCATCAAAATGACTAATGTTCAGCAAGGGAAATGAATAATTATGTTGTGACGTAGCAAATGTAAGAAAAAATGTGGAGCAAATTCATAAAACAGCAGACAAATGTATCTGAGGACCAACTGTACCAAGTCAAAGCAGTTAGGCAGTGCCCCAGTGCAGAGGAGCCTGACTTGGGTCCAGCAGGCCCCACCTCTGCTCAAAGACCTCAGCTCTCCTAGCACATGTAGCATATCTTTTGGAAACACGGCAATTTGCATATGGGTTTCCTGTGCTCACCATTGGCATTATCTTCGGTCTTGATAGGCATGAGGGGGCTCTGGGGAGCAGAATCTCCACTGAGCGAATAGCTGTGCTCTGCCTGGATGCCTGGAGTAGCAGGGTCCAAGTCCATGTCCATGTCCAGTAGAGGATTCTTTTCAGCCAACATTGGATCATCAAAGAAACTGCTGAAGAGTTCGTTGGAGAAATCCTCCATGTTCTCAGAGAAATGATCCAGATTCTCAGAGAAATGCTGGGAGGGAACCAAGTGAAAGACAATGTTATTGTCAACTCCAATAGGGGCTAGGGAGCCTTCCACTGAACTGTGATAAAAACGTCAGCAACCACATCATTTGGATGAAAAATAACAACAAATCCATCCTTTATTCGGATCAGTGCTATAGCTAAATAAAATTATCTTGCTATTAATAAGGTACAGTTCAAATGCTCAATGATATATCTACCTCTCTCTCCCTCTGTCTTATACAGGCAGTCCCCGGGTTACATGGATCCGACTTACATCAGATCCCTACTTACAAACGGGGTGAGGCAACCCCGCACTAGCTGCTTCCCCCCAGCAGACCCAGCAGACCAGGGAGACGCGGAGCGGCTTTTCTCAGCCGACACCTCAGCTTGAGAATAAAGGACTGAGGGAAGTGAGGTGTGGGAGAATAAAACTGAGCTCTGGAGAAATGTTTGGCTAGAGTTTCCCCTACATTATGTACCAGTTCCGACTTACATACAAATTCAACTTAAGAACAAACCTACAGTCCCTATCTTGTACGTAACCCGGGGACTGCCTGTACATCTAACTACACCCAACTAGCTATCTCTCTGTCTTCCTTATGTACCCATCTGTCTGTCTACGTAGGGTTTATTATACTGTATGCTATTTAGTAGAAGAAAGAACTTAAGGAAAACTTGTGTGATAAAAAATTGCAAGTACATCAAAAAGTTGTGTTCTTCTAAGTCTGCGCTTGGTGACATAAATGTTCCCATATGTTCTCCAAGTAGCAGTAGGCACACTGGTACTAAGGATAACAAAACCCAATCCTGGATTTTTATCAGTGAGAAAACATTAATATGATCAAAATAAAAGGAAGGCCCCATGTTGTATTTAATTTCCTTTAGGATTCCATAGCCCTTCTGTGGACCCTATGAGAATGCCCTCAGGCCAGTTAGTGCCTGTGAAATTCTGCTTCCCGATTAAATTTAAACCCCACAAATTGCCTGTTAACAGTAAACAATCATTCCACTAACAGCCAATAAATCTGATCCCATGCAGAACCTGTTTCCCCTGAGACAAGCACTCCTATTTAGAAGTCAGATCACTAACTTTTCTTTTTGATACAACAAAACATTGCTGGGGCAATGAGAAAAACAATGGTTACCAATAGCCAGCTGAAAATGTATTGGCAGAGTGACACTTTCACAGAGGAAAGAAAGAGAACACATACATTCAATAGACTAGATAACATAAGTGGTCTTGAAAGGTATGGATAGAGCTGACCCAAAGTCAGAAAAGGCTAGGCAGGCTAGAGGAGGCTGAAGAGGGGAGAACGAGGGTTGTGGGCCTGGGGAGGAGGCACAGCAAGTGAAATACTGAAAGCAATGGAGTGTGTGTGTGTGTGTGTGTGTGTGTGTGTGTGTGTGTGTGTGTGTGTGTGTGTGTTAGGGATGTAAAATCTCATTTAATTGATTAACTGGTTAAGCATAATGTTTAACCGGTTAACTGATTAAAGAAAACAGGGCTGGTGGAGGGGCTGCTCCAGCCCCTGCCACTGGCAAGGGCAGCTCATGCCTGGAGCGGGAGGGAGCCACTCCAACTGGAGGGGGGCTGTCGCTTTTGGCCTGGTGTGAGGCTGCTGGCTCTCAGGATATGTGGGGAGCTGGCAGCCCCATGTGAGGACCTGGCAAAGCTGCTTCCAGGTATCAGTTAACCATTACCCGGTAAGTGTCACCCTGAACAGATGCTTACCAGGTAACCCTTACCATTTGCATTGTGTATGTGTGTGTGTGTGTGTGAGTGTGAGTATTAGAGAGAGAGACGCATACATTACAGACCTCTGACTCCACAGCTATACTTACCTGCGGATCAATGTGGATCGATCTTCTGGCATTTGATTTAGCAGGTGTAGTAAGGACCCACTAAATCAAATGCTGAGGGCACTGCCATCAAGCATTGGTACTCCTACTCCTCAAAAGGAGCAAGGGAAGTCAACGGGAGCGTTTCTCCCTTCAACCTCCTGCTATGGGGATTGCACCAAAGCTCTAATCAAGGTATGTCAACTCCAGCTATGCAATTAATGTAGCTGGAGTTGCATATCTTAATTTGAACATATCCCCTCATGTAGACCTGGCCTGCGTAGCAGTGGGAGGAGACCATGTACCAGGAGGAGCCTTAGAGGGTAGAAGAGGTTATAGGTGTGTGTTGAGAGTCATTTCATTCTCTAATCAGAGCTGAGGGAGGAATTGGCCAGGGGACCCCGGATACTAGACTCTATTAGTTCCTGTTCCAACAGGAAGGTGTGTTTGTTTTACCTTAACACCATATCTTTCTGTAAACATAGCCCTGGCAGTGAGAGCGTTGGGAAGAGGAACAGACTGAGCTGACAGCCCCCCTACCTTAACAGAGAGAAGCTGGGGAGAGCACAAAAGGCAGAGGGAACATCTGCAGTTGGTCACTCCCTCCCACGCCCCGTCTTCGATTTGAAATCAGAGAACAAAGGAGCACTAAGCGTGCAATTCTCCAAAATCTCTAGGCTACGTCTACACTGGCATGATTTTGCGCAAATACTTTTAACGCAAGAGTTTTTGCGCTAAAGTATTTGCGCAAGAGAGCATCTACACTGGCATGTGCTTTTGCGCAAGAGATGTGCTATTGCGCAAAACATCCGTGCCAGTGTAGACGCTCTTTTGCACAAGAAAGCTCCGATGGCCATTTTAGCCATCGGGCTTTCTTGTGCAAGAAATTCATGTTGCCTGTCTACACTGGCCTCTTGCGCAAGAACAGTTGCGCAAGAAGGCTTATCCCTGAGCGGGAGCGTCAGACTATTTGCGCAAGAAGCACTGGTTTTATACATTAGAACGTCAGTGTTCTTGTGCAAGTACTCGCAGCATTTTGCGCAAAAGCAAATGCTTTTCCGCAAAATCTTGCCAATGTAGACACAGCCCTAGAGTCTGTGACTCCTGCTTTCCTCCTGGTGCTAGGTTTTCTGTCCCTTTGTTTCCCTTGTCCTCACTCCTGTCCTTTCAGTCACCCCAGTGACATGTAGCCATCCAAACATCCCTTGATATTACAAGAAGAATGGGGAGGGCTGAGAAGGAGGCACTTTCATTCTAAGCCCTGGTTTTCAGCCACTCACTGGACATTAGGATTGAATTTTTTCCAAGCTTTTTTTTTTGGAGAGGCACATTTGGTTTGATAGCTTAGTAAAGCCCACTTGGCCATTATCAATATATCTACAAGGATTTTTGTACTTGGATAACTCACAGAAAACTACTCAAAATTGCTCTGAGCATAACCCTTTGCAAGGAGAGGAAGACATACAGGGAAAGGAACATCTCTACCCCTTCCTATATAGTATATCTGGGGTTCGCACTGCTCAGCACATTGGCTATAAGGAACACATATTCATACAATTGCTGCCACACCTGCCCTGCAGGTGACTTTTCTTTTTAAAACAAAACAAACAAATTCAGGATAAGAAAGGACAATCGTGCAATTATAAGGGTGGGGCTGTAAGTAGGAAAGTGAAAGAATCCAGAGTTCTGACACAGGCCTGTATGTAGGAATTTCTGTGGGGGGTGCTTTTTTGGGGGTAAATGTGGACTGCAAGGGTGTGACTGCACCCCCCCCATAGTCCCCCAAGTAAGTGGGGAATTTAGCCCCAGCCTTCTCCCCTGCTGACCAGAGCATGGGGGAGGAAGGCTCAGGCAACGCGCAGCTCCTGCCTTCCCCTTGCCGGTTGAACCATGCTTACTTGGGTGACCATGAGGGAGTGCCTTTGCACCCCCCTGTGTATGGGCCTGTGACATACCAGGCTCCCTTCACAGTGAGCAAAGATATGAAAGAAAAAGCTATAGTCAAACCTACCCATGTGTCAAGGCTGGAGGAACAGTGCTATGAGAATCATCAGCAAGTTTCCATTGACTTTCAAATCTCCGCCACAGCTTTGTG